CTGCCCCTATGGGATTGAAGTTTGCCACTAGTTCGGGTTTTCAGTTTAAAGTAGCGATACACTTTTAGTTTAGAGTAAATAGTATGATTTCACTTTTTAAATGCCAGTTGAGGCATTGAATATATGCGCACTTGCTCTTGGTTTCCCTGGGGAGCAGTGCCTCCACGCATGTGTGAGTTTGAATCATAGCAAGTTCTTTCTAACGACATCCATATATGTGTGCAATTGGTGAGCATGTATGTATTTATTCTTTGTTTAAAATGCCTCACTCAATATGTTGCTAATTTTTCTCAGCAGCAGGAGCAGTAGCATCCAGCTTATGTTTGATTGATATTAAAGTTGTGTTTGTATGTTTGTATTATGTATATTCACCTATTCGTATGTAGACGCAAAGTGAATGCAAGTCGTGTTAAATTAAACGCCCTTCTTTTACCTGAGTTTGCATACATACATACATACCCAAATATACAAATGTCAACTTAGCTTAGAAGAGATCACATGACGGCACCTTTTTGCGTTTCCGCTTTTCCCTTTCACTTCACTCGTGAACCAGACATGTGAGATAATGTGATAAAGACATGCTGAAAGCAAGCTAAAATAGTGAATTCGATTCGATAATAGCTTGAAAACTGTTTTCATCCTGTGAAAAAGAAATAATTTAAGTTTTCGTAACTATTTGTTTTTGTTAGGCGCATAATCGCCCTTCCTCGCATAGAACTCACTAAAGTTCTGCTTAATGGACAGCAGATTTCTGGAACCAAAGCGGCTGACTTAAGATATTGATACTTATATTGTACATAAAATAAATAATAATAAACTGTCAAATATTTTAATACAAAGCAAAACATAAAAAATTATGAATAAGTTAAAACAACAACGGGCAGTAGTTAAGCCTGAGAAAAAACACTGTCCATGCCTATGGAGCCTCATTTAGATATGTACAAAGATATGTACAAAGAACGTTCGTCCCTCTGCAGAAAATGCCAAATGAATCGATTGTAAGTCTTTCCGGTGTCCTTTTCCCTTTGTTGGATAAAGTATAAGGACGTATGCCACATATTAGAGGAGTAGTAGCTCGGACGATAATTCCTTCAACTCTTCGAACGCACACTACTGCACATACCAAAGTTCAGAGATATCGTTATTTTTTGCCTAAACTATGATGGTTTTGGGGCTTTGTGTAACAGGCAGTCGTAGTTAATTAACATCATAAAAATATGCTTATTTAATATTTAATAATTTACTTATTTAAATTTATTTAATGAAGCTTTTGAATTATTGTTGGAGTTGTAGCTTTAGCACATATTTGGCGCTACTCGTGCGACCTGCTTAAACCCAGTGTTAATCCGCAGCAAGTGTAGCTCTCTCACGATTATAATACCACAGCTTCAGTAGCTTATTTTTACCTTGTTTTTGTTTTTTTCTGAACATTTTCATTTCGATTCATTTCTAAGTATTTCTTTTGTATTTATCGTTTTTTATCTTATTATTTGTTTCATATTGAGTTCAATACTCCCACGTTTGTTTATGTTGTACATATGATAGCTTAATTGAGTTATTATGTCTAATAGAGTATGAGTGGAAGGGAAGCTTTGGCGCTGGTGAAGCTGATGGCGTTTTGACGAGAATATTAAAAGGAGATTAATTTTTATTCAAATTGTGTGTTGATATACATGTATATATATATTGACCAATTTAACCACTATTACGTGCTTCTCTTCTTTTCAGATTTTTCAAGTAGGAACCACCAAAGATATAATCCCTAATAAATATAAATATAAATGTAGGGGACAAGTATGGAACGACGGGCGTACGAAAAGACTAGTAACATAATAGTAACAAATGACAACTACAGATTACAACCTTGCCAGACTGGATATAGGCAATACTAACTGAACGAATGAACGAGGCGCGTATTAGACAGAAGAACAGCAGGACAGTTGCTTTTTGAAATTTAATAAAGACACAGAGTAGCGTTTTCTGTTTCGGCAGAGGTCAGTTTCAGCACACCGCTCAGTCGGCACCCAGACCACGGCTGTGTTGCCCGTTTCCCATTGATAGTGAAAATTGTTTTCATGAAGGATTAAATTCCTTTGACTTTGTGCCTATGATGACGCTTGCCTGTTATTCGATTGATCTTTTTGGTATTTGGTTTGGTTTGACTACACTAAGCTTTGTTAGTTGCAACTAGTCCTAATTTATTTGCACAGAGCTAATAATCACTATACTAACATATAATATATACATACACATATAATTCGTTGAGTGGTCTCTATACATAGTATATAAGAATGAAAAAATGAAAATGAAATAAGAACGGATCACACATGGTAGTCTCCAATTTATTTTGCAGTAGCTGGCGAGCAGTCTAAAATGAAGAAATAAAATTAGTGAGCCAAAAAGTGGAAATAATTTCAACTTAAGCCGTTAACCACTTCACCCTGGACTATTTATTTATTGCATTTTGATTAAGTTTCAGTTTACAGATGATATTGAGAAAATTCCACAGATGACAACGGCATACCTTCTCCCTGAAATGGTATTTTAAAGAAAGCAGTGGGCGAAAAGCTACTTTAATTGATATACTCGTGCCCCGGCAAAGACATTCACACACCACTCATTGATTGCACCTTCAATGACCGTAAATTAATTTCTTCCGAGTACTTGTAAATATACCAAACCCTTTGAAACATCTTTACAGTTGCCAGTCTCTTACTCGCTCTCTTGCGTGTTGCTTGCTATTCGTCAAAGTTGACACCTTTGCTTCATTACAAAACCTCTCATCTCTTTTTTGCTATGCTATCCTTGTTTAAATAAACAGTAATCAATAGTATCCACATATAAATAGTATGTACAATAGTATTGGCCTTAAGCTGACATGACTTTGCAAAGAAAGCGTACTTCTTCGGTTTACATGTGCTAAACGAAGAGTTGAGTTATTCTTATTCTTGAAAAATCATGCAAAATTATTTGTAATGCTTCTTGTGCTCATGGAAAGAGGAAATTTTCAACTGTCACATTACGATTTGCACTGAAAGCCTTTACGCGGCCACGATTGCCGAGTGGTTAGCATTGCGTGCTGCTATTCGGAAGGCCAGGGTTCGAGTCCTGGTACGGACTACTTCCAATTAAAAAAAATATTTTTAAATTGCGGTCGCCCCTGGGCAGGTGATATCGAAAGGCTCCTCATAAAAACGATTAGTCGTTCGGAGGCGTCTTTTTTTTTTTTAATGGCAAATGAGGACTCAGTTTGACAGGATTTTGGTGATTTATAGTATAAATTTGAAAGCGATCTTTCTCTTTTCAAACACCTTTATTCAGAATCCTTACAGCTCAGGCGTCAATTTTCGCCTACGCCTATTCGGTCAAATATAGCAATTAAGTAAGAAATGTTATTGTTATAACCGCAACCTGTTGCGCTAAATTAAGTATTTAATTATAAATATTAAACAAACACACACAAACGAAGCACACGGCGCACGAAAACCAAACAATCAAAACATAGCAAACACGCGGACTAGCAGCCAGCCTTCCGGCTTTACCAGGTCGGCCAACGACAATCCACACACACCACACATACTGTGGATATGTGAGCAGGCGCACATATAAAAGCGTTTTAAGATTTACGTAATAACTTTATGAATAATAACTTCAGGAATTACAATCAATTTTGTCAGCAATAATAATAAAATAAAGTGACATTATGTATAATATAAGCTGTTCGCTTGCCGCTCTGTTTTGGTTTCGATTATTTGTTTGCAATTTTCATAAAATATTATGTTGTAATACAAAAAGACGATTTGATTGCATTTGTTACGAATTAATTGAGTTTAATGACTTTGGTTTGTGTTTTGTACGCTAATGTACAGATGCCACATAATACGTATCCCATTGCCTCGGCTGTATGCAGTGGGGGCTCTAAACATTTGAATCCGCCCCCGAAACGCAGCCGTCAAAAGGATTCAGACTCACTTCGACTTTTTGTGAGATTGCACAGGCATCTGGGCTAGACTTAACAGGGGCTATTTGGTACTATTTTTAAGAGTTATACTCGAAAGGAAAAATAAACCTCCCCCTCTTCAAAAAGGACAATCTGGCGTGTCTTTCCGCGGCTCTGATGAATGCGTATTAAGTTTTTATAAAAATTACACGCGTAATCAGCGTTGTTTAGTTATAATTATTTGTTTATTTTGTTCGCTGTTTCAACATGGAAAATTTATATTTACAGTTATTCAAAATTTGTTAGAAAAATAAAAGTAGGTATTCTGTATTAACATCGAAAACATGCGAGAAAGAACTGGACTACCAAAGGATTATTTTTGAGTACACATGCCGAACTGTCGCACACGTGTGAAGTAATTGCGAAAGGATAAAACGAGAAAAATGGGCATGAAAGGCTCTACAGAGTATATGTGCAGATTCGAACAAGCGAACAATTTATTATAGTCACAAATCCTTTTTGGATATTCACCTCGAGCTGCTGCCAATAGAAGTACTATATTTAACGAATTATGAAAAGTTTTAGTAGCGTTTTCTAATCAATACCTGCTACCAAGGAAAGTACTCTACTTTTCAATATGGCTTTATGATTTCTGAAACTAAATCGCAATGGATGTAATATGAGTTCAAGTTTAATTAAAATGATCGACTTGGCTATAGATTTAGTAACAGCATTTCGTCAAACTTTTTAGCCTACTCGTACTCCACTTTAATTAAGGTAAAAGCTCTCTTACTATGAATGAGCTTGTCCCAAAGGTCTCGAATAAACTTTGCTTTTTGCTGAAGCGATTTTCGTAGTCTCACCTGCCCCTAACTTGTTATGCTGTCGGGAGCTAATTATTCGGTTTTTAGATTTTCGGAGTAATTGACATTTCCGGGGATCTGTATGAGAGTCGAATAATGCCAAAGTGACCCAAGTTCCATAAAAAGAAATATAAAGTTTGCTAGAAATACAAGTGTAAGAAAATTATTCCCATATTTTTTTCAATATCCGTTTTTATTAATTTAAATTTACATTATTTAGGTACATTAAGCCTTAAAGTTCGAACACACAGCAACTATAGATAGTCGTTGAATTAAAATAGCGATCCAACAACTAAAGTAATTTAACTAATTAGTTAAGGTAGAGGTGATTGGGATCAACAACATGAGCGACCTCTGCTGGGTAGACTTTTGATGGTCCAGGGTAGCGCCTCTCGTAAGCACCTAGAGGATTGTTAGTTGTTGACATATATATACAAATATATATTATAATTTCTAAAAAGATTTCGCATTAGTTTTCAACTCACCGATGATCTTCTGAATAGCGGTTTGCCAATCGAGCAGCTGTTCGGGAGCAGGAGCGGCTTCTACCGCAGACAGGCAACAGATGACGGCCAAGAAGAGGGCGAAGCAAACCAAGTACTTGTTCATTTTGTTATATTTAACTGGATTTGAATAAAATGTGGCTGTTTTAGAACCTTTAACTTGCAAAGTCAGAGAGCGAATGTTATCAAACACAGGGCTAAACGCTTTATTTATAGGAGAAAGAAAAGAATGTTATGACGACTGCAGGGCTGCTTGCTGATGACTCTTTCATTTTATGTTTTTCATTATTTTTGCTTTCGCTTTTTCTTTTTTTAATTTCTAACTGCTTTTCTTTTGTTTTTGGCGATCGGAGATTACGCTAAAGAATCGTGCAAAAATTCCGAAACTCCAAATGTCTGAAATCTAGTTTTTGTACGCGCAAAAAACTTGTTTCATGTGTCGCAAAAGAACAAAACGAGCGAAGGCGTTTAAGGCTCGGCGCTAAATTGTCGCAAACACCAGGCGTAATAACAACGAAATTATTAAGCAAAACCGAGCTAATAAGTTCCATCAGTCAAATCAAAACAACAACACATAGACTGTCATCGACGCAATCCCGTTCATAATGGCACCCATGAGAAATTTGATATATATGAAATTATCAAATTCATAAATTAGTATTAGGTTCGGTAATTAACGATTGGCGTTTAACACCAAGTAAGACGTAAGAGCATCAGAGTATGTGTGTATGTGTGGAGGTCTTTTACAAATTGCTTAAGGCCGCTTTCAGGTTATCGCATTGTTTTCTGTTTTACTTTATTGCGAAGTATTTTGCCTGACAGTCATGTATTAGACTTTTATCCCTTAGTTTTCTTGTCGGTTTCTTTTCAGTTGGGTTAATGGCAAACGAATTGTTTTGAAATCCAGTGCCAAATTCTAATTCGCCACCACTGCCTCTGGAACCGCAATATTATACATAAACACAATCGAAGCTACATACATACATATGATTCTTTCGTCTTCACCGCCTCATTTGCATAGGTATGCCAGCAGTTGTATTGTATTTATATTTCTCTGCGCTTTAATAATACATTTGACTTTGGTGGCCGGAGTTCTAGCTTAAAATATAGCTGGGAATTTCCAATGCCTGATTTGCACTGTTTGTTATTTTAATCAATTTGTCTGTCAGCGTATAAAAAACACTAAGCTGTTGCGGCAAACAAGAGAAATAGAAGCAAACAAAAAATACGAATAAATTTAAAAAAGTAATAGTAAAAGAGCGATAAGGAGGCTGAGTTCATTGGACCAAATGGCGCTGTTTTTGGTAAATAAATAATAAAAAGAGATACATAAACTCGAGAAACTAAAAATGTAGGTAAACGGTTAATTCACGTTTCCCGTATCCCGAAAATGTTGTAGTGGGAATACCTATGATTTGAAAGTGAAAGCTTCTAGAGCAACTAAAAATAAATATTTTGTCAACATCAATGTTGTGGCATCCAGAACTATTAATGTGCTTAATGAACCGCTTTATTTAACAAATATGAATGTGTATAATGTGATCTTTTGGTTGCTCTTGGCGCTTGTTTATTTATTTTTCGCCCACTTCTTTCGCATATAAATTAGGCGCTAATTCCAATGACGTCTGTGCTACGCCGTAGCACGTTAAGCAGGGCTATTAGCGAATGTTATTTAATATTGATTATTAATATGAAAGGTGATATTTTAATTTTCAAAAAAAAAAAAAAAAAAATTTATAAAAAACACTGGATAAAAATAAAAATTATATAAATAAAGGAATCAAAACTCTAGAAACATGAAGCCAAAAACCACGAACAAAATAAAAATAGCTTTGGTATGTACGAAATTATATACATATGTACATATTTGTATATAAATACATATATTTGATATCGGTATTTTTAATTTAGCTCCAATCCAGTTCAGTATTGAATCCCGATTTAATGATAAATATCGGACAGTTCAGGCAAGAGAAATGCCGTGAAGGTCGTACTATGTGTATATAGATTTGTATTAAAAATAAAAGGTTTAAAGCAATTAAAAAAATACAGCATCGAAGCAAAGACGCCGCCAATTACACAAAAAACTCGTTTCGCATCAACTTTTAGTGAAATATTTCCCAATATTAATTGCATTTAATTTCAAAAATTGCTGCATCTCACTACACGGATGCGGATTGGCTGAAATCTTAACAGCGAAATGCATTTTATAATAGGTGGAAAAATCATATACAAGTTACAACAAAAGGTCTTCAGTGAAATGTGTTATCTTTGTGTAATGTTCAGGAACAATTTTCCTAAAAAAATCGTTCGCTTTTTATCAGTCGCAGCACAAGTTGAGTTACAATATTCCTTGTGTTAGTCCTAAATGGATGTATAAATTGTTTATAATTGGTAAACAAAAATGTTGTTCGATATGAACTATTCTGAGGAGTGAAATATTATTGAACGCGTAATATTTTTACAAGTAAAATTCCGTTGAATAAAATATTTGCGGTCATAACGCCTACGATTTTGAAAAACCAAATATATGTTATTTTGTAATAAACGAATTAAGAGATTATTTCATAAAATTTGTAAATGACTATCGAAATTTTACTGCGTACTATCCCAATTAGTAAATTGCTCTTCCGCGCCTTAGAAATATTTGAAATTAGAAATTTTAATTATTATTTTACTCAGAAGTACGGCATTATTTCTGAGCTAATTAATAATCGTCAAAGCCTTCATGAGATGCGTACCTGACACAAGTACTACTCTCGCCTGTTAATCGGATAAACGGTGTTACGTGATAACAATTTAATTGACTTTCGGGGAAATGAAAGCACCGAATGTTTACGACAGCTAATTTAGTGAAAACAAATTAGCGAGAAAAAAGGCAGGTCTGTTCCAGGATAAGTAATATTAGGTGAATAATAGGAATATTCTCATTTTATGTTTTAATTCAAATAAAATTAAGGGAAAGAAAATTTAACAAAAAGTATAATAAAAAAAACAAAATTTAATTAATTAATTTCGTAAATTATAAAAAATACATCAAAAATGAGGCAAGATAAAATTGGCAATCTAAATGATTAATTAAAAGCTACATCTAATCCCAGGAAATTAAGTGCCAGATTACTATTTTTTTTCCAAATACAATACAAATTTGGCATATGTAATTAATACTGTTTTAATTATTATTATATCATATTCAAGGATTTCGGACGTCTGCGCGCTCAACATCAAAGTCATGTATCACGCTACAATCAGTTTATTTACATACGAGTACAACCACATACTTCACTAGATAAGTTATTTATCAACGAGAGTCTGAACTATACAATAATCAGTTCGCTTGACAATCTAATCAATAGCGACTCAAAACTTAATTAGTGTCATTCTCCATACGCCCAACCCTTTCCACTGTAAATGCCATACATACGAATATATAATATGTATAAAGTAATGTATATTGACACATTTATTTGCAGGCTTTCGGTAAATACAATAAATGGCGCAAAAGTGACTACCTACTACACACATACATACGTCTCGTGGCGCATTTGACAAGCAACGTTCAGTTGAGATAATTTCACAATCGGAGTGCGAATCCTAATCGGCTTCTATGAAATTAAGTGCCCTATGAAAAATTCTGTAGGAAGCATTGCAGCCAGAGAGCAGCTACTATGACAAATTTGTGTTTAGAAGAAGCGCAATGCAAATGAGTTGAGTTGTAGGCTGAAAACCAATGATTTTCGAGAGAAACTTAACTGGTGTAAAATGCAAGAAAACAAAGTCGTGGAGTATTGTGGTGAGGACTTTCCCTAAAAAAGCGTCATTTTATCTGCAGTGCTTTACCTAGATTAATCATAGAACAACATTGGGTTTATCTTATCCACAATGCCAACTCAACCGCTGGACGTTTTTATTTAACAATGCCAAAGGGTGTTGAAGTTGAATCCTTTAGAAGTCAAACTATCACTAATCGGCGAGAGTTGTGTAACTCATAACACTCTTCTAACACGGTGAATGCTCTGATGATGTGCCAAATGGTCTGCATTAATCTATAACGGACTCAGGGCTATCATTCTTTGATAATACGTGACGTTCAGAGCAAAGGCGCCGATTTTAATTTCAAAAAGATCCTTGCGTCAACTAAAATGTAATAAAATATCCATGCCAAGACAAGACGAATAAATATCGGAGGGGAAGAGTTTGCGTTGTTGAAATAAATATGTTACAATTAAAAATTGCTATGCTACGAGTTAAGCAAATAACTCTAGATTGAAATCAAAGGGAAAGTATAAAAATTCATTTACCTTTCCAACGCAGCCAGGAGTTGCCCTGAAGCTGAGAATGTGCTTTGAAAAGTGCTTTTAACGAGCGTTGTTAGGCTTATGTGCTTTTCTCACGCCTTTTACCTCTCTTAAACTGTACTTGCGAATTTGATACCTACTTTCATGTACATGCACATATCTCTCCCTTTATGAAATTATCAAAATTGCTTGCACCATTTCCAATATAAAATGTTATATGTAAATTTCAAGATATGTTCGTTGTACACACGCCTGACAAATTCTAGGAAGAATTCACTCAGCTGCTAGGCGCACAACAATGGAGAATCATAATTCCTAAGCCGAAAAGATTTTCAAACCAAGAAACAAACACACGCTGTAGAGAAGACTTATAAAAAGGTATTATATTCACATATTTTGCGCTCTCCTGCACCCTGCTTCCTGCCTGCTTCTCCACTAAACACTTGATTTGCTCTCGTCCATTTTTCCACATTTCAATTATTGCACGTTATCGAATATTTTTGATATAAAATTTCAAAAACCTTTGTCTGTGTATGCACCTTTGAAGTTATTGCTTTGCCATTTATTTTAGGTATTTGTTTACGCAGACACGTAAATATGCGTCCATTACATGCAAACATGCAAAATAAACAAAAACAAATTGACATTCAAATTATTCGCGTGTGTTTCGACGGCATTCACACGTGTTAATATATGTTTGTATTGCGGCATGGCTTCGATATTTTATTTCCATTTCTGCGTTACGTGGAAAGGAGGCAATATTTTTGATTATTTCTGATTTAATTAGATTTTTTGCGGTGTCATTTTGTTGCGCGGCAATTGTGCTCGAGGTGCAGCTGGATGGGAGGCCGTTTTTACACCCGACTGCACGATTACTTAGGGTGTATTGACTTTATTTGGCATTAAATATTCGAATGGTTATAGACATGTGTGGCTTTTGAAGGGCAGTTTTCCTTGAGAGAGTATTTGCATAGTTCAATAGCAATTCTCCCTTACCATTTGTTATAGGATAATTAATTTGCTTAACAGATTCGTTCAAAAATCTTTCGCGGTCAACAATTATTAAACTCATTTTGTGGGTACAATGTTAGCCAACTTTTATCTGCAAAAACTTAATGCAAACTCTTTGTGCTGCCAATCAAATACTCCTACCCCCTCTCTATCTTAGAGCTTGGCGCTTAAGTTTATCTCCGTTACTTAAAGGACAAAACCCCCGCACGCACACTGATTCAAAAAGTTCCCTTTATTTTTGGGCATTTAAATTTGTGTTAATGAAAATCAAAAGTTTTTCCGTAAATTTTCAAAACATTTGTGCCGGCAGTAGGTAGCAGGGGGTGTTGGTGCGTTTGGAAACGTGCTCAATATGTTACATGTAGGTGTTAACCTACGAAAACATCCTAGGGGTGAATGTGACAGAAATTTGTAATTTTAAATAGCGCCCTTAGCTGTATTTGTTTACTTCTCATTTTTCGCTTGAACTTGTATGAAAGGAAATTGTACACTGTATTGTATATTGTATGAAATACGTATGCACATAGACGTTTACTCTGAGCGGAAAAGGAAAAGTTGGTTACAATGGCAAATGCCTGAGCAGTTTGTTGTGCCTATTTATATTGTTATTACTTTGGTTTTCCAAAAATATTTGCTTCCAGTTTTCTAATTTCGCCCATGAGATCGTAAACAACCAAATAACTTCTGTGTATAAATACATATTTGAGTACATACATATACGTATGCACTGTACATGGTTACAGATTTTTAAAGAAATTTATTCGTATTCTGCAGCTGTGGAGCTTTCTTAAAGTTGGAAGGCCATCAAAGTTTGTTAAGTGGAGCTGAAGAAAGTTGACAAGAAATATATTTGTGTTTGAGCAATGTCACTTCAGCGATGCTTTTTTTTTTAAATAAATGACTGATTATGAGTTCAGTAGATGATCTACAGACCATTTAGTTAAAATCAAATATACCGATAACGACATCACCGTCATCCACAAAATGACATGGCTGTGAGGAGGATGAAAGGAAGTGGATGAACGTGTAGCTGGATTATTCACAAGACGTGATCCAGAATGCCTTTTAAGAGTGCTTCGAAGGCATTTGTGGTCATAAACTTGCAACCATGGTGCTGGATGACCATTCCTCTTTACACTCTATTTGTTTCTAAGCAAGCAACCATGCAAGTTGTCGAGCGTCTTACCAAGCACCCCGAATTTAGCATCTAATAGACACTTTAAGTTTCACTTCGCTGTTCATCTGACAGTTGCACTTGTGCATATAAGCATGCAAGCGAATGCACATATGTACACATGTGTATGCATATATGCATAAGTACCCCAAATGACAGGAAGCAAAGCCTAATGCCTAAAAGTATGTTGAGGAAATTGGGCGTGGGATGATCTATGCTTAATCAAAGAACTTATGGATTTTGTATAAAGTAAGTAATTCCAATACTTAATTGGAGTATTTTAGACGTATTCATCATCGTATTTCGTCAATTAATCTTGAAGTGGCGACCAGCTCATAAGTGGAAAGTGTATTTTTTTTTTGCTTAACAAGGACGACAAGCATTACACAACCATAAGAACGTAGGCTTACGAGTAAAATGCCTGCATTTATGTAAATTCTGAGAAGTAAAAAACTTTATGTTTTTAATTGACTGCTGGTAATTAAAACCGAGTTACTTAGTTTACATACGTGTACAAATATTTTATTCCAACGTGGGACTGATGTGGGGCTTTATTATTGCAGATGCCAAGTGCTATTGAACGAGTGAAACACAAAGCCTAGCTCGTGGGCTTCAAATGAAAATGGCCATGACGCAACAATGAGTAAAAACTTATCTGCATGTACGATTACTAATCACTCCAATTATCTAGGCAATGCTGATTTCGGAAGCTGTCGAATACTGCATTGTTCTTAAAAATTTTGGAAAATTCAGAAATAAATTGTCGATGCATGATTATGCAATTTATTCACATAAAAACGGTCTTCCTAAGCTGTTGAGAGATTCTATAAGCAAATAATGAATTCAACACTTAAAATAATTTTTTATTGCCAAAAGCACTCAATATGCACAAAAAGCCACTGAACGCGCTTCGATATTCATTACTCTTTTGTTTAATATGAGGGGATTAACAAAAGTTCGGTCAGTTGGTGACTTTCAATTTGTTTTTGTTTAATCTGGAAATACCAAATCCAATTACTTTATTAGACTTCCTTTCAATTGTAGAAAGATCGGCTAAAATGGAGACGAGAAAACGCGAGTAGTTGAGGATATGTGGAAATTGAACCACCAATGCAAACGGAAGTTCGCCATGTGATTCTTTTCGGGTTTCGCATGTCAAATCGCAAATGGAACGATTGCACCGTCTTTAAAGTGTATTCCTAAGTGGTTCCGAAGGCCGACCAAAATCTTCCACAGACGACGTCACTGTAGCTCTGCCATGGCTGTGTCGTGAATATTAAGTAACCATCTTGGATACACGAAGAAATCTGCTCTATGAGTACCACGAATTTTAAATGAGACCAAGGATCGAGTGCATTTTTCTCAATTTTTTTCAAACAAGTTCGAAAACGGCCAGTCTAGCAACTTTATTAAAGTCTTTCCTTGTAACGAATCTTGCACAAAAAATCAACAGCAAAACTGATGATGCCAGTTTACTTCACCGATCTAAAATTGTAGCAAAAAAAAAAAAAGATTTTAAAAGCTGTTTTTAGAAGTGGGCATATAGGCTTAAGAAATGCATTGAAATCAATGGTGGTTATGCAGAGAAGATAAAAAAGGACAACGATTACGTATAAATACAAAAAAAATTTTGAATTTTTTTCTGGTCAACTTACTGAACTTTTATTAATCCCCTCGTTAATCGGTATTTCAAAAATTGCTGTTTTTATAAAAAAAAAAATAAAACAATAAAAAGTTCAGCAATGACTATTAAAATGAAGCAATATTTTTAATTGGTCGTAGAAATTCCCAGTAAAATATGTTTTCGCAAAAACAGCTCAAATAAATACCAGTTGGTAGGTAATTTGATTTCAATATCGATTCGTTTTCAAAGAGTATTTCGGCGTTGGGTTTCAAATTCAAAACTTGTTTCCGTTGCTCAAAATTTAAAATTTAAAAATATTCATAAAAATCTGATGTTTAACAATGATAACTTACTGAAATTAAAAGATGCGAAATGTTGGCGCCACCGACGAGCTGTAAATAAAGAAAAAGAGATGAAGAATGAGGAGAGGGAGATTTTGTGTATTCTTTGAATATTAATATTAATCATTTTAAGCCGCAGATTATCTATTTAGTGTGTCTCCAACTGATTTAGTTGACGATAAGATACATCGAGTGATAATAAACTTAAGATCGCGTGATCTGAGCACCGAGGAGTATTTATAAGTCGATAAGGTAAATGTGCCGAGTGGTTAGCACTGCGTACTACCATTAGAAAGGTGAGGGTTCAAACCTTGGTCCGACCGGCGTCTAAAAATTATAGAAATTTAAATTAAAAAAAAAATATTTTTAATTTACTAATAGCGGTCGCCGCTCATCATAATCCGTCGGCTGTTCAGAGGCGGCTTAGTTAAAACTATGAATCAAGCCCACAAGCATACCAAAAACTAGATTAGGAGACCGGCCGAAAACCACTTCAGCGGTTAAATTACAAATAAGTGGTAAATATGTGGATATCATTTGTTTTGTTGTGTGTCTGTTTGACGGTACCAGCAAAGCGAGTTATACAAACACTAAGAGCAGAAAGCATGACATCAACAAAAAGGTGTTATCGATATAAATGTCTGAGATAATAAAAATGGCGAAATTAATTAAGTGATTTAGAAGTTAAGTCGTGCTTGAGTAAGTTCCCCCAAAGCTTTTCAGTGCTATACAAATAATTATTATTTTCCTTTATTTTAAGTTGTCAATAATTGAAATTATTACAAATTTATAATTCTACTCGACTTTCACACCTGTTTTCTCGTCAACAACTGGGTTTAAAGGAACTGTGGGACGGGATTTTAAGCTCCCTTCTTACAGATGCAAGCGAAACTATTGGATTTCAGAAAGGTCGCAAAAACAGCTGGTACGATTAGGAATATCGTGTCGCAGTGGAGATTAAGCAAGCTTCTCACCTCGCAACGATGCGATCCAGCACTACACCCGTGGGATGGAATGGATACCGAGAACTGAAGAGGTAAGCAAGACGCATGTGCACGCAAAAAAAGAGGGATGCGAGATGCGTGAGTGTGAAGAGCAAGAAAAGCTGGCCTACAAGGTTAATGTTTGAAAATTCTACGAGAAGATGCGACGACTGACAAAAGGTTTTAAGACCGGAGCAAACCCATGGAGGACCCCGAGGGAGGCTGGCCATCGCCAGCTTACAGAATAACAATGCGGCTGACGGCCTACCGGTGGGCGGAGCTAGATGGCGGTGAAGTGCTGTCCAGGTGCAAGCGTCAGTTAATTTGAGAAAAATGATGAATGAAAAATGATCAAAGCATGCCCGACGATAGGAATCTATCTGTTGCCAGCAGCAGTTTATCAAATTGAATTTCCATTTAAACAATCGCTACAACTTGCTGTTATATTTGCTGCATATTATTTGACAATGAAATCATGTATGTTGGTGGCTCATGTATTAAGTCAGTACTTTTGAAACAAGGAAACGGATAACTCTTTATTACCGACAATAATATAAAACATGACAAAAAACAAAAATTGCTTTAGAAATATCAAAACTTTTCTAAATTTAAGAGCAAATTTGATCTGAATTCAGCAGCCTCAAATAACCAAAGATACACATTTAAATTCATTCTATTTTTGCTTACATCTGATGTGCGAGGGAGGCAGTATGTGTTGGTGAAGATTTCCAAATAATGCAGAAAGTTGTTTTTTCCAAGCAGCATATTCCCACACAAGTTTTTCGACTTTCGCCATCATGGCAGATCCGTATGTCCATGATGAGAGAATTGTATTTAACTTGATGCTGATGTTATTATTTGACGCAAATTGACCTCTCCTAAGCGTGTCTGCGCAACTGATTGGAATTGGTTGTTGGTGTATTGCACAGCTCATAGCATGCGAGTAATTCGCACCCCCTGAAACATACAAACGTGCGCTACTTTCATTCAATAGGTAAGGTGGTAGTCCTTTCACTCACTCACCCACCCCATAAATACCTGCGAGCAAAGGTAACTCTGCATTATGGTACGCTCCACTGCACTTGGCGTGATAGCTGTTTTTGTTGCATTTGATGTAGACTTAGCTTTCACAACAAAGCTTATTATCAGACTACCTTGATTTTAACTGAAGGATTTTTGCTTTTTTTCACTACACTCACATACACATACATACATAGTACATAAAGGCGTGTGTGTTGAACATACATTCATTTGTGCTGGTTCTTTACGGAGATTACCTAAAAATATATCATTTCTGCATCTTTTAAATGAGTTTGCAAAAATTTTGTTGGCTTTCAAATTGCTTAGAGAAAATTATTGAGACGAGCTGCAGAGCTAGCATGGCACATGTACGACTTATACGTAAACAAACGAAACATACATACGCATTTGGTTGAGTTCACATCTTTTTCGGACTTAATTAAAATTCCTATGGCATTAGGCTGTTATGAAAAAGCGGTTTAAAGATACAATAATTACTGTTAACATTGAATTAACTGAAAACTCGGCTTAGTTAAAAGTTGCTTCCAAACAAAATGCATCTACCATAGCAATGGTACTACAGGCACTTTTACAAAAACTGTTTATTTGTGTATGTGCATTCTTAGTAGAACAAAAACAAGAAACGTACCAAGTCAAGTGCATAAGAGGCTTTCAAAACTCTCAAAAAGTTCAATAATACACTTATAGTCCGTAGGTTAGTTATTTTAGAATATAAGTTTTTGAAATTTATGTATGTTTTATATAACAAAATTTTATGTTTTGTTTTGAAATTGTTTTCATTTTGCATATTTAAAAATTTATGGAAATGTCTAACTGTAGCTAAAAAGATCTCCCTAAAGAATTAAAAAATCTTACTTTGAACAATCAAAACCATTTATTCAAAGCAAATTTTCGTTAGAAAAATTAAGGTTTTTTAAGAATAAATGGCTAACCGTTATTAATTTTGAACATTTGTTATTCGAACTTAAAAATTGCGCGTAAAGAAATTTGAGCTTTGCGTAAGTATTTTTGCTTTACCAAGAACGAATGTTCGCCTTCACGAAGTCTTTGCAAACACCTCTTAATGCTTACTCATGCCATGTTACATTATTCTCTCTTACTGGATGTCACACCAGTGCAACGCACTAAAAATTACTAATAAACAATTTAAGCACACAAACATTAACTTCCACACACAATGAAGCATATATAAGCTTATGCACTGCAGGGAAGGAAATAAGTTGTTCACCGAAATGGGTCTAGTAGTATTTTTGAGCGAACTAGCTCAGCTTCCATCTTATTTTATGATTGCAACTTTTATTTTCAGACGGCGATGTCTTACCATATATCAATTGTCCTTTTATCATCCAGCTCCGAACTAGTTAAATAATAGTTCATTTTCAAAAGTTTATTTTCCACATTGCAGAGAAAAGAACCAAAAAAGTTGTTTATAAAAATTTAACAATGCCAATAACGTGTCTGCAAGGTAATGGTATAATTTTATCATTGAAATTGTACTCGTTCACAACTAGAATTTTGTCATCTAGTTAAGTCCTTCGCTGGAGGGCATACACTCGCTGACTGACACTTACATATTACGTTTGTGTGTTTATGTATATGTAGTATTCATTTGTACATGTCAAAAAAAGCAGCAGGATTGCTAACAATACGACAATAACAACAAGTTCTGGAGAATTATGTTTTTTGTCATTCTGTCGTGTCGTAAAAATCTTTTGCATGACATGCAACGATTTGTCGCACTGAGTGGCTTCAACAAACAAATTTCTTTACAAAAGGAAAGAAGGCAATGAGCGACAATAAAAAATAATAGTGACGAAGAATGAAAAGGTAACCTTTTCAAGTGGCGTTAAACTCTAGAAGAGTAATAAAGTAAAAGAAAGTGGTATTGAGAGTTTAACAAAGGCTTAGTTCATTTCAATTGCTATTTTTTAACGATCTATTTTCCCGATAGACTTCCAAAGCCGGCTTAAAACAGCAGATATGAAGAATTCCTGCAGCATTGCTTCAAGCAATTTTGGGCAAACGTGACGTGTGAAATCTTTCAGCAAGCGAAACATCCGCATGAAATAATGTAAATATGTACATTTGTCATAAGACCAATCGCTTTCGCCTCTTAAGTCGATGTGTAATGAGTGCAAAGCTAACAAAAGTGACTGAATATTTCTTGCCTATGCCTTTTGCCTATTTCCGTATAGAAGAATGAGAATTTATGGGGCGAAGATTCCAAAAAAAAGGAGCAAGAGTGTCAACGGGACATATATATGGATCGAAACGAAGTTAATGTTTTCACAAATTTTATCATACATTCGATATATCTATAAATTATAAATATATATATAAGTATTTGGTACCACATTTCCCCGAACAGACGTAAGATATTTTTTACACTGGAAAGTGTAAGTTCTTTTAACTTGAAATTATTTTATTGAACAAGAGAACCGATCTATTTGATAAACAAATATATTTATAGTACGATTTGGTTGAAGTTTTAAAAGAGAAATGGAATGGATTACATTTGTTACCCGGAAATAATGTACCCAGGACTGGAAAAGAGATCGCCGACAGCGGTTGCAAAGCGTCAATTAGTATATAATATAAATAGTTCTGAATAGAGGGTTTGCCTTACTTTAAGGCATTCAAGATATATTGATTTATGTGTATACGTGTGTGTAATGCATATGGAGATCTTAAAACTTAAGGTCTTATCAAGAAAAAGAGTTTTGAAAAATTAAGTAAACATATTTCTCAAAATTACAATAGGGAAACCCATATGTGAATGTTTCTTTGCATTTATCTTTATACTCTTCATTCGTCCTTGAACCATCAATTTCTTATTGGGCATTTTCTATGAAATTGTTATACACATACGTAACGAGCGTGCAAGTATTGCTGTACATAAGGCAAAATCAATGAGAAGATCACATCAAAATGGCTTGGTGGGAGACTTATGGAATCTACTGTTTGATAACTAATAAACGCCACTGTGACTAAACCAACTTGGCCAACGAAATGCCTGAGGTTATGGAC